AATTCGTGATGTAGTGAATGTCTTGATGCAGAGGCGAGGCTGTCCAACCTCTTCCTTCCAAGAGGAGTTGGGAATGTCTTTTTGTTCGGGAGAAGTCTGTATCTAGTCTTGGTGCCGAAGAGCTCCGGCAGTTCTTGAGTAGGGACTTGGAGTCTAGGGCCTAGGGGGCCTGGGGCCTTCGTCGCTTGGCTTGCGCGGAGAGGGTGGTTGTAGCTGGGAGATTCTTGCAAAGTTTTGTGCGTTGGTGTGAGGACTCGAAGCTCTTGGACTATGCAGTTAACTTCTGCGAGATGTGCAGCTGTGTACTTTGCACTCCAGGAGCATTTAGTTTTACAGTGTGCTGATCAGCAGGATTGAATGTCCGAGAGCTTGCCGTGGGGCGCTCCGACTATTGACGTGGCACGTGTAGCCTCGCAGAAGGGCGACACGCAGCATGTGATGGGTCACCTGCTACGTGCCGCTGCACAAGCCGGAGATGCAAGCAATTCTGAACCAGCTATGCAAGCGCGAATTGTACATAAGACTGGTTCCATCCTCCGACAGCAGAGGGGCAGCATATGTGCAGCTGGAGAAGCAGAATATCGAACATCGAACTGAAGAAGGCAAGTCAGAAGGACAGTCTTCACAAAGACCCAGAGCCGGGCGAACAACGATGCCAAGCTAAAAGTAAGGCGGAGGATGAGACCAAGGCACCCGGCAATTCACGCCAAGCCTCAGTTGACGGCAGGACCCGCACCGAAACCAAAGACTGGAGGGAATGAAGCTGCTCCAGCCGAGGCCATGCATATGGCAGACGTAGTGATGAATTGGAGCCAGCACAAGCCCCTGGGGCAGCAACAAGGGGGTTAGCCGGTTATACCGTGCTTCCTAAGGTGACATTCGTGTCGTGACGGAAGCCTGAGAGTTGACCGAGCCCAAAACTCTACTGTGCCCCACCATCCGCTTGAAAGACTCTAGCGATAGCGGTTTTGAAGTGCTCAAATTATTGATTTAGGCGGGACGCTGTTGTTTAATGGTGGGGACTGGGCCTCGTCGAGGTGGCGCTTCCCTCGTGTGTTGCTGCTGATTGTCATGTGCCTGGGCTGCCCGAGTTGCTTAGTCAAGGCTTTCAAGGTCCCAAAGTTTTCTTAAGTTCTGGCTCCTTCCTTTGACCAAATGACTGTACTCCCCATTGGCTCGAAAAGCCATCCTACGAACAACGAATAGCTTGCCAATTACGCCTTTGTCGAGGAGGGTCTTCAGATGGTTCTTCTTTTGGCCCCTTCTCCCTCCGGTCTGGGATTCCAGAATGTCTCAGCATATCTTGCCGGTGGTCCTCTAGACTCTAAGCCCAAACAGACCCAAGAAAGCAATAACCTCCAAGAAGCCCGAGACTTGCAGAGGATCGTCTTGGATGTGGGGGCTAGCACGCTGGCGAAGCCAGACGACGTAACTGGGCATGCGGCCCACTTCGGAGGCTATCTCTCAGGCGCTATGAGGGCTCTACGGTTCGCACGCTTGCAGCTGACTTCAATGTCCCAGTTTCCGAGCTTCTGCAACTTTGAGAAATGGCGGCAAGCAGCTCCGTAAAAGGCAAGACCAAAGCCCCAGGCCTCATCTTCGGCGTCTGGTTTGTGCGCAACAAGAAGGTCACAAAGTGCGAGCAAGTGCTCAAGGCCATGGGCCCCGGGTTCGTTGGCCTTGTCTGGGTTCACAGCATCCCTGCCAACCCCAAGGCCCCCGAAAACATTGAGACTCCCCTTCTAGCCTCAAGGAGCTCGCGTGCGAACCTGAGTTCCTAAGCCTCGTTGTTTCAAATCATTTCGATCGAAGTGGAGTTGGCTGTGGTGGGCTTGGGGGTCCAGTAGCAGGCTTGAGGCGAAATAGATTCAGTGGATAGGAACTGTGCAGCAGTTTTTTGTACCTCTTGCATTTCTGGTCTTCACACTGCAATGCGCAGCTCTTGACCTCTTGGCACTTCTGGTCTTGACGGGTTTTGTGGCTTTCGGGGTCTAACATTTCATTTTCCTGTCGACTGTTGTTCCCTAAGCTTTAGCTGCCAAGGTGGTCATGCTGCTCCTTGGCCTCGGATGTTTAGGCTTCTGCTTCTACAGGACCGGCACGATTATCGAGCATGAAGTAGAGCTTCAAGCCACAAGCAGAGAAAGTGGAGATCCGTGGACCGTCTACCGCAATCTTCAAATCCGGGGAAGGCAGCGGGTGTGTTGCTAGGTTGGTGGGAGAAGTGGCATAGATGAAACACCTGAAAACGCACTGGCACGACGACCGAAAGGGCCCATCCAGAGTTTAGCTTCAGGATCACGACATGTAGACGATGATGATATGAGTTCGTGAGAGAGCCCAAGAGCAACCAGCGAGAGGGCAGATGGACAACAAGACGGACACAGGACTACTGCTGAGAAAGATGCGGATGCAGCGGGAGGAGAGTCGGATGAGCCACAGAAACGGAGCAGCTGACATCGTAAAGCGGAGGAGTACCGCTTGGAGCACGGCTTCTGACATGTACCATCGAGGGCCTGTGCCCTACAGCCGCTCCATACGGTGAGGTATCCAGGGTTGAAAGACCACCGAGGGTTTACTTGCCACAAGCTCTATGCGACAGCCGCCAGACCCAAGCCCCAAAAGACATCAGGGTCCAGAGCGTTCCGCGCACCCCTTCCCGTCGGAATCTGTGTCCATCTTCGCAGGATCAGTCTGTGGGCGCCTTCATCCCTTTGGGATGACGGGGTGCCCTGGTGCTGGGCTCGTCAGGCCGGGCGTTCATGCTCAACTGACGGGGTGCTGTCACTGTCAGAGTCTGCGTCCCGCTTCTTCGTGAGGCGTACTCCTACACCTACTTCGGAGACCAGGCGAGTGCGGGATATCTTTGGAGCCAACAGCGGCCCATGCAAAAAGAGCCCCTTTGAAGGAGTGGCACTGCCTCCGCTGCCCGGACGACGAGTGTGCAGCTGGCTTCGAGCTGGCGCTGTCGGCCAGCCTCAGCCCAGACTCCTGGCAGCAGCTGGTGCCCAGAGACGGTCTTAGTCTGGAGGCAGTTGAGTGTCATATGGGTACCCATATAGATTCGTATACCACGGCTGCTTGAAAGAGCAGAGGCCGTGCGACATGTATCCTCAACACCTTGAGCTCAAGCTCCCTCTCTGAACCTGAGAGCCCGTCACAAGGTCAGCTACATTGCCTGTGGCATGGCTGCATTCACTGCATTCATCCTTCCGAGACTATTCAGGATTTGGGATTCACGAATGGAGCCGCGAAGCGGAACGCAGGGCTTAGGGCTTGGACCTCTTAGATCCTGTTAGTACTACGTGAGTTGTGAGGGTCTACCGAAGGATGTCAGGGATAGGGGAGTCCTCCTTCCAGGGAAGTTGTGCAAGCCCTCCTATCTCCACAAGTTGGGGAGCTTGGTCACAGCAATGAGGTGACTCGGACAAACTTTGGTGGAACTGATGCGAATGCATCGTCCAATTCAGAGCAGAAGGTGTGCTCAAGGCCCGAATGAAACGGTCTAGGATCCCCAGTTCTTGCATTGCATCCCGTGAACTGATGCAGCACGCTTCCAACAGTCCGCCCGGATCAAATGTGCCGAGCACCCCCTGCTACAGTTTAGTCGCGTTTAGCCTGCTTCTGCGCGAAGCGCGGGTCGTGGTCAGAGATGAACTATAGCTCGCAAGCATGTGGACTCAATGGACTCTCCTTGCCCCCACGGCAGCTTCAGCAAGAGCTCTTTGCCCGAAGAGTAGCGGTCTTGGGTCTGGGGCTTCAAAGGGGGCTTGGGGGCAGTCCAGGGGCTTAGGATTTAGGGTGAAGCTTCAGAAGCTTGCCCTCGCGACCCTCGGTCGTCGCACCCCGGATTGACCCGGTGTGCCTTCAAACCCATGAGTTGTTGTAGTGGCGAAGTTAACAGAACTTGCAGAGACTTGGGTTCTGGAGCATTTGTGTGCGTAGTATGCTATTGGTTACAAATCTTGGCGGACCGGTGCAACAACGATTTCAAACCAACGGATGAGAAATCAATCGGCGATGTTGCAAAATCGGTTCATGAACGTACCAGGTTCCAGCCGGACATCCTAAGCAAAGTTTCCGGTTTGCGGGTCGATTGTTGGTTTGCTTGGGAAGAGGAGAAGCACAAACCCCGGGAAGAAGACCACGATGGTCCAAGTGCAGCAGAACAAGACCGATCCTTAGCGACGAAACCAAGCGTTGCGATTCCGTGAGTCTGAACTAGGCAGCTGATCCCTGGCACACCGGGCCTTTTGCGGGTTTCAGCATGCCCGGAACACGAGCGGGCTGCGTTTGGAGCTTCCAGACTACCGGCATGAGTTCCAGACAATTGGTCCCCTGTGTATTCTGCAAGGCTTCTACAATCTGTCGAACTGGGTCAACACTGTGAGTTGTAGTCGCAAGTGGATCTTGATGATAGGGCCAGAAAGCCTGGTGAGGGACCATGTAAGCATTCAGGTCCGATGCCTGAAATCTGCGAAGCTCTGCATTTGCCAAGCAATGGCGCAACCTGCGACAGGGCCGAGCAACCCATTTCGGGAGCAGTTGGAAAAGTGCGGCAGGAGTGAGGTGCTTTGAAGAGGCACATAGCTGTTGAAAAGCCTCGTGAGCCAAATCTCGGCGGGATGAGATTGATGGTACATCCTGGTACAGAAATGCTTCCAACGCATCCTGAGCAACGGCTCTAACCCGAATCCCGTCCCTGGTTTTCACAATGAATCTTTGCAAGCTTGGGTTCAGTTTGTGAGCAGGTTGTGTTGTGGACGACGATGACACCACCTGTTTCGATGATGCTACAGGTCATGGTAAGGTTGCTATTGAATTCGGATGTGTTGGATGGTCTGTGTTGCTGTGAGCAACGAAGATGACCATGTCCAAAAGGACTCAGGTCAACACCCGGGTGTTGGCACTCATCTCCTTTTTTGCAGTTCAAGAACCGGCAAGTCTTGGAAGGGAGCGGCTTCAGTCTCCGTGCGTTTTCTGCCGGATGTGCGGCCGAGGCACTGGGCCCCTCGGGAGTGAGGAGTGCAAGCTCACTTTCTACTACACCCAGGCTGGCGGATGGGCAGGGCGGGGAGGGCTGGGCGCAGCCTGCGGAATCCGAAGCACACTCGAAGCTTGGAAACTCCAGAGCCTATTGGGCTCCTCAGCTACACGCACCTTGAGCCTGTCTGCCACGCCTCATTCTGTAGGCATCCGGGACTAGAGTAGGGCGGGTTTAGGGTCTCTGAAAATCCTGCTTCTCAAAGCTCCTTGGAAGAGGCCTCGGAGATCCGGGTGACCCTTTCAGCGCCTGGAGCCGGGCTGCCCAGTGCCAACAAGACCGTGACGGTTGTTGAAAGGTTCCTAGTTCTTTCTACTACTTTCACAGGCGCTGCAAAGGGAGATGGAACGTTGAGCTTTCATCGCGATCCGTTATTGGAGCGTGAGATGAGTCTTAGCTCGTCCGATCTCCAGCTCACGTATCGAGAGGCCGAGCTACCGCAAGCTTTCGACCGTCAGCAAGATGCATTCGCCCGAAGTTCCCTGCCTCAACCTTCCGAGCCTGCCTTGTAATATCCCTGGCAAAAGTGAGTCTTGAGACCTCAACCGTCTCACAGGTGAGAGGCTTCGGGCATCTCTTCTACTTCTCCGGCTCGCATGGGCCCTGGATCAAGAGGTCTTCGACAGAGCCACTGGATAAGCCGTTGAGCGATGGAGTCTCGGGGCATTCTTGTCTTCAGCAGTGTGCCCGCAGCGAGTCAACCGCGTCGCGGGGAAGGTTTTGCAACTCGATGGCGATTCCGTCGGCGAAGTGCTACGACGATGTTTGCCCTGAAGGCAAGAAGTTTCGGCGGGCCAGGGGAGCGCGGTGTGCAGGATTTGGGGTCGTATCTCGCTTCTCCAGAAGTGGGAGTTCTTATTCGAGGTTTCAGAAACAGCTGGGAAGGTGTCCCGAGGTTGTCGGGCTGTACAACGTGCAGCGTTCGGGTTCAGCTCGGGCCTCTACGAAGCCACTTTAAAGCCGAAAGCCTCAAGCCAGTTCTTCTTTACGTGCACTCCGAGTCTTTGTTGAACAGAGAAAGTTTGAGTAAGCTGCAGCGGCTCCTCCTCTGGCTGGATTCAGTCGACGTCGTCCTCGCAGTTGGCGGCACATAGTGATTCAGATAAGATCCTCGATAGGGGCTTAGACATGTGAGGCTTCTGCGAGTCGTGGCAAGTAGACTCCAGAAATGGACGACCCCAGCACTTTGTGCCGCAATGGCAACGACGATGCATCGACGGACGGAGGCAGATGGAGGAGAAGTTGCGCTTGGAGGAGCCGCGGCTCCAGTCTGCTAGAGGGGGGCAGTCTTGGAAGGCCATCGGCCTAACCCGACCCCATGCCTTGTCCATGTTCTTATCTTAGTTGGCAGGAGCTGCAGGACCAGGGCCAGTGCAAAGCAGAAGTACAGTTTCCAGATGTTTCTCGTGCGAAGCGCTCTTTGAACTGCAGCGTATGTTCTTTGGCAGGTCGCAGAGACAGCGCGGTGCGCCGGCTGGGCGAGAATCTTGCGGGATGTCAAAGTCCGCTCTTCCAAAGCCAGGGACTCCGAAGTTCTTGGACACCTGAAAGCCGGCAGCCACGTCTTGATCTCGGAAGTTGTCCGCAAGCATGCGCGCTTCCAGATCCCCTTTGTGGGCTGGGTGGTGCTGAAGAAAAGTGGCAGTCCCGTCCTTCAGCAGGACTTCCAGCAGCGGCAGCGGGGCGACCAAGCGGCCACAGACTGTTGAGGACTTCCTCCACCTTTTATTTTTTATTCAGGGTTCCTTGCGTCCGTGGGCCCGAGGGTCCCACGTCGGTCTTCACGTGTGGGCCAGGGCCGCTGGCCTATACATCATCATCGATGAGAGCGGCCCCGGGGACACGGGGCCGAGCTGTACATATGTGAGCCTCTAAGAGCTCTGCTGCCCTGCTAAGCGCATGGATCCGAGAGATCTCCACGTCCATCGCTGTCTTGACCTCAGCGTTCCAAAGAGCGCGCAGCGAACCTCGGTGCCTGCGTTTGCAGAGCCTGTTCGCCGCCTCGTCAGCCGCCCTGTTCAAGCGGCGACACTCCTCAGCCGAAACAAGCACCCACGGTGGCGGTCGCCATTGTGGCTGCTTCTCGTGGCTAGGAACCCAAACCAGTGTCCAGCGTATGCCACGGTCACGAAGAAGACGGCCATTGGCGTGAGCTCGGCCTGACAAGCCGCACAGGGAGCTCTTCGCAGGGCAGTTCACGGCTTTGATCGCCGCCTCGCAATCCACAAGAATCACCGCGTGTGGCGGCAGCCGAGGGGCCGCAACCATCGCAGCGAACACCTCGTCCAACGCCTTGAGCTCCATGCGGAAGGGGGACTGATCTTCGCCTGCGTCAGCGCCAGAAGTCCGAACCATCGGGCTGCCACTCCGGAAGAGCTCACAGCCAAAGACGGAAAGCGAGACTTTACAGCCGGACCTGCCAAACTGTGCAGGGCAAAGCGAGTTCAGTGGCACCGTTGGCATCTACGCGGGCCTAGGGTTGGGAAGCATCGTTGCATTTTTGCCGCGGAAGTCACTATCAATACTGCATCCTGCCCAGGCGATGCCGTCGCAGGGCCTACAGGGCCCAGCTGGTACGGCTGGTTTTCCTTGCCGGCCAGAGGCTCCTGAAGTCCACTCCGCTTTTGCCACTTTCCAAAAGTCTTGGAAAGTGGCAAAAGCGGAGTAAACCTAAAAAGATCCTCCTCTTTCTCTTCCGTTTCATCCTTACACGGGTGTCGGCCTGGGCTTCATGGTGCACCCACTCCAAGGCATTCTCGCGCTGCGTGTGCGCCTTGAGCAGCCCCATGCTTGGCGCTCATCGTCTAGAGACTTTCGAAGTCTGCCAGCCGGTGCCTGGGAGGCATTGCATTCAAAATTCGACGCATCACGTCCCAGCAGGTCTCGCCAACTTTCTCCGCGCAGCCGCTCGATGCCATCACCCACAGCCGCTCCAAGCGACCGCTGGGCGGTCTGGCGCCAGGAGATCCGAAAAGGGATCTGCTGCAAGCGCCGCCGGCGATAGATGTACATAGAATTTGAATAGCCACCTGTCCAGGATAAGACTGTGCCTGAAGACAGCGTGGGTCCTCTCTGAAACGTGCGATACGCTTCCTTGCATGTTTGTGAAACCATGGCCGACTCTGCATCGACCTCTCCAGGCTACAGCATCAAGCCAGGAGCGCTGGGCATGTCCTGCGTCACCGAGGCTCCCGCCCCTGCTGCCTTCGCTGTGGGGGCGAATTTTTTGAGAGACTAAACTTCTTGAGGCTTTGCCGCCCGTGCCCTGCTTCTTTCAGGTGTGCGACACGAGCGAGTGCTGTGATCGGAAGCGCGGGCCTGGGCTGTCGAGTCGACCGTGCCTTCGCAGTGCCTTCCTATGCCTTGCTCCTCCTGCATTATCGAAAAATGCCTCTCGTTTGGGAATTGGGAGCTGTTCGATGCTGCAGAGCATTTGCCCTGGCGAGTCGGAGTCTCCGTCAAAGCTCTCTCATCTGTTTCACTGCTGGGCCACGGATTGGGGTCGCAAGGGGGCCGGCAGATTTTGAAGTTTCACGCAGTTGGGGATTCGTCAGATCGTGTAAGACAGTGTAAGAGCATGGAACATGTCCCTGTTGCTGAAAGCATTGCTGAAACCATATCAGATCTGACCAGCGCGGTTTGGAGCTGAGGCCTGATTCAGTGGAGTATCCCCTCGTGCAGCACGGACCTCGGTTGACACCCCTGCCCGAGCATGATTTGTTCTTTGGCCTTCATGTCGGGGGGGATGCCGGCTACTCAGAATGCTTCAAGGACTTATATAGATGTTTTGTCATGCAAGAATTATCTACACTCTATGAGGGAGGCCAGTGTGAAAAAGACCTGAAGCGGGCCAAAACGGTCTTAGTTTGTCGCCATTTTCATGGTTTCATTTAAACGTAGGGATCGTGGTCTGTGCGATGGAGTCTGTTTCAGATTCTCCCGGTCTCGATACCATCAGTGGAGTCCTGAAGCCCTCAGACTGCCGCCACAGAGACTTGAGCCTCCATCATTGTACTCTGATCAATCGTGCTCGTTCTTCATCATCACGGTTATTGGCATGATCATCGTGCAAGTTACAAGGTTTGTTGTTTTGGCAAAGCTTGTAAAGACTGTACCGTCAGTGTGCTTGTCAGCTCCTGGTGACTGAATGCTAGCATCCTAGCATTCTACCATTTGCCTCCAAAGCGCTGGAGCCGAGATCTTGCCACGGGATGGAGCGAACGTGGCGAAAATGTGCGAGCCTCATGCCGGCCGTTTTTGCCTCTGTCAAGGTTCCTGGAACTCCGCGAGTTCTGGGCTTGCCAACTGAAACCTGCTAGCACCGGAAAACGGGTAGCTGGATTCCGAGGGCGTCTTGTATCTGTGCCTGCCAGCAGTCCACGATGAATGGCCCCTATTGTTGCCTTTGGCGCAGAAGAAGACAAAGCGGGGTAGCCGTCGGCAACTTCCCCTCCTGCATTTCGGTGCAGCGAAGGCCCGAACCTCCCCGATTGCCACGAATGCTACCCGATAGACTGTGTGTCGGCGGCTCAGAGAAGCTTGAAGTTCGGCTGGAGATTCAGAGTTTCGCATCCGATTTTTTAGCTTGTGCAATGAAGACAACGTGACAGGGGACTGGTTGCACGCTTTGGGCTTTGGAAACCCCTAAACCGAGCGTAGGGCGGGGGCATAATCAGACAGGAGGGTCTGTGCTGTCATTGTCAGCTGTCGGATTTGGTTCCCAACCTCCAAGCTCCAGAACTCTCGAGGTTCCACCCGTGGACCGAGTGGGTCAGTGTTGGCGGCTGCTCTGGACTTTGTGAGCGCACGAGGCAGGGGCTTCAGATGGGGCTTCATCCGGCCGTTCGCCCCGTTTGCTGCAATCTTGCAAGCACGGAGCGGCCAGGTACCCCGGCCACAACAACGAGTGTGGGAATCCTTGCTCGGGACACACCAAGGAGACCGTTGCCCCGGACCTAGAAGTGCAGTTGGTGGTCTCCAGCTGAATTGCGGCCCCATCTCGACGGATTCTAAGTTTCCGGCCATTGCATATATTCGCTGGAGTGACTTCCATGTTTGAAGTGTTGGCTTGGTTGCCGTGTGAAGTGTTGTCCGAGGAGTTTTGACCGAGCCTGATTCCGATAATTTCAGCCTTGGAGCCTTTTTGGGCTGTTCGTGCCAAGCTCGAGGTGCGCCTGGACGATCCTCTGTGCTACCCGCCTTCCTGCATCGAGCGCGATCGGGCGCGTTGGGAGGGCTTCAAGCGTGTCTAGAGCGTCGAAGCAACTGCAAGTCTCGTTCCGAGCCGACCTGTGAACCCCTTACTGTAGCATTCCTCTCGTGGCACCCAGCAGCCCCGCATGTCCGTACCATGGTGCATGAAGAGCAGTTGCAGGGCCCGGTCCCTTGGAGATACATGGTTGCCCAACCGCTGAAGCCTGATTCCTCGGCCCCGCACATTCGCCAGGCCCCCCCCCAAGATCTCGACTCCCAAATCCTCATGTCGGCACTGACGCGACTCGCAGGACTGTGTCTGGGGCGCTTGGGAAGAGTGGAGCTCCTGTAAGCACCTCGATGAGCGCCCCGGCGGCTCCAGATGGGGAAGGTTGTGATATCGGCGCCTAAACCCGAAACCTAGGACCTAGAAGGCAGATCTGCAAAAAGATTTCCGGAGACTAAAGCGCCCAGGTGCTCGGTCTGCCAACTATCTCAGAGATATCGGTCGAGGCAGTGTCTCGGACGATTCGTTGGGCCTGGAACCGGCCCCTTACACGTTCAGGGGCGAGACTTCTACATTCTGGGCCAAGGTTAGTCCAGGAGTTCTTCGCTCATAGGCTCAACACTGAATTCGTGCACCCTGCCCGGTTCGGGGTACTAGCTCTGGCGGATTCGTCAGGACCCCAATGCACCGGAGCACTATATGCCTTTGAGTCAGAACAATGAGAAGACTGAAGAGGTTCAGACCACAGTTGGATGCATGCGCTCACCCGAGTCCTTGCAGGGAACCGTACAACGTATCCACCAGGGCTCACTCAAAGAAAGCGCTAGCCTTGTCCTCGTGGTAGGCCACAGCATTCGCCACACTCCGAACCCCGCACTTGATCTGGAAGCCTTGTGCAGACAGCACAGGTCCCTGCATCCCGGAATCTCAGAAAGCCCGAGGATTCTGGTGGACGCCACAGGGCTGGGATCTCCTTGCATAGGCCCGGCTCTTTTTGAGGCTTCAGGGAGCTCAGAGGCACAAGGGATGATAGCTTCGGCATGAGGCGTTCGTCTTCTTCCGGTTTCCCCAAAACGCATGCCGCTCACATTGAACTTGTGCCTCCACCGGATTCCCAAAGCCCCAAACAAGCCTCCAAAAGCCTCTGCCCGAGCCCCACAAGACGTATGCTCTGCCAGGTGCCTGGAACGAAACCCGGCCCTGCCAAGCTTCCCATGCCATCGACTGTGAACTCTCCGAATGGGCAGAGCGCAGCCGGCGGAATTCTGACATGTAGTCCTGCTAAACATCTCTCCTGCGTGCTGAGATGTTTCGCGGGCTTTGGTGGCCGTTGCTAAGAGTTTTTGTTCCAAGCTGCTCACTCCGAAAGTTTAAAGGCAGGTCCTACATGCTTCGTCGAGTCGATCCTGCAATTGTTTTTCAGTCTCCTTGGGAGACGCCCGAACTTGCCAAGCACTTGATGGAAGTCTCAAGAGTGGCATCGTCGGGGTCCTGGCGCCAAGGGAGTTCCTTGCACGGCCAAGCACATGACGTAGACCCGCGACTAGCGCTGATGCTATGGTGTCTGAGAAAATGTCTTTGGTGCTTTCAGCAGCGTATTAAATCAGCAACCGATGTCCGACGGACTGTTGTTCGGGCCAGGTCTGCGGTCTAAGCAATGTCTCAAAATTACTAAGTTACTAAGGGGCCTTGTATAATTCATGCATAAGAATAGATACATTTGCTTGCATTATGTTATGTGTATATATCTGTATATACGTTTTTGCACACACACACACACACACGTCGTCGCCTTCTATCGTGTCACAGATGTTTGCCGGGATGCGTCGTGTTTTTGCTACATCATGTTTTGGCCTATGGCCCAGTAAAAGCACAGTGTTCTGTCTGTTGCACAAAGATGCAGATAAACAAACCAGAGGACAAGCAACACACAAGCTTCACCACCAGTCAACCAAGTGTGGGCCAACCCGTCAAGAAGCTCACGCATCGCTTGGGGCCACAGAAGAACCTGGGCCAAGCAGGGGTGGAAGAGTACGACCAACTCTTTGATGCCAAAGGCTTAATGCGACTCCAGCAGACGTCCATGGGACGTCCCGGTTTCTGCAGCAGCTGGACGAAGTGTTGGTGCTTGCCGCGCTGGGCAGTTGGTGCCACGGGCGGTTTCGGAACAACCGCACTTACACCATGACACCATGCTGATCCTGAGCAAAGCCAACGTCCGAAGTTGCTGGTAAAGAAATCATTTCTGAATACAGCAGAACTTTCCCGGGCTGTTTCCTCTCACTAGCTCGAACTTGTTGTTCGCTGATGTTTCACTGCAGCTGGCGGCCGAGCAGAGCGGCTTCGTATCATGCGATAGAAGAACCGAACCAAAGTGCCATCGAAGCCAGCAGGGTTCTGCTGTGTGTTGCATGTCAGCATCAACTCTTTCACATGCAAGTGGACCAGCTTCCAAGCTGCCAGGTGGACCTGCTGCAGCAAGAGCTGCGGAACCGGGTGGCAGGCGCACCTTCAACTGACATGGATTGGGTTTCAGGGTTCTATGAGTCCTCTGAGTGCAGAGGAGAGGTGTGGCTTTCGGCTTGTCTACTTTGATTAGAAGCGCACTCTCCCTCCGTCCAGGCAGGGATCCTCCGCAGAAAGTTTCATTCACCCTGATATCCCCGATTGCACAGGCAGAACCTGCCCGACTGCCGCACCAGGCAAGAATGCGTCGTGTCATCCAAGAGGCAATGTTTGGAGGGCGTCCTTGTGCCCCAGCCGCGGTCTCAGCTACATGTTCAGGGTTTTGGAATCGGGGCTCGCACAGATCCGGATGCTTCTGCGGTATGGGCGCGGCAGCTTGCGCCTCCAATCCCGAAGCTTGCAGCTATTGAAAATCTATCCAGAGCCCTAAACCTAAACCCAGACACCTTTAGAAATCCCTGTGCACTGTTGCTAGCAAGGAATACCTTGACAACCATGGGCTCGTTGTGCGTCAGACGCCGCAGTCTCAGATGGGGAGGGTGCCATCGTCTTGATGCAGCCGGGTTTTGAGTCAGAGTGTCTTGCTCCTCCTCCTCCCTCCTCCTCCTCCTAATTCTGCTCCTCCGCCCTCATGCATGCTTGTAATTGTAGGGGTGCCTCTATTCTGCTTGGTACCCATGATGGCAGTGCTGGTGATGGGGAAGATGACGATGGATTTGGCGACGACGGTGGGAGTCTGATGATGGTCGTGACGATGACGATGATGATGATGATGATGATGATGATGACGGCGATGATGACGATGATGATCATGAAGATGAAGATGAACAATGAAGATGAAAACGCAGATGAAGATGAAGGTGAAGATGGAGAATGATGATGATGATAAGGAGGAGGAGGAATTCAGGTCTGGCACTCCTTTAGTGTCAGAGAGCTTGCTCTTCGCATCTTCAGCGTAAGGATTCGAACTCGTAGCCCTAGCACCCCAAAGTGCCATCGAAATCCCGAAATCGAAGCATGAGTCCAGCACTTCGCGAAGTCCTTCCCAAGCCCTTCAGGCAGCCGTGCAACCAGGACACCGAAGGGCGACTGTTCTCTAGAGTGCTTTTCGAGGGGGCTATCCGTGTGGCGCTGTTTATGGCAGCAGTTTTCGCCAAGAAGAAGTTTTGATGGAGTTGACGTCCTGGGGTGCCGGGCCGATGTCCGAGCCTCCCGGTCTCAGCTGGAAGCCCGGCCGGGGCCAGGAGCCTTGCGACAGCCCGGTGCCTTGCGTGCTCTCGGACTGGAGCTCCTGGGAAGGGCTGGGACCCTCGGAAGGGAAGGGGGGAAGAAAAGGGGCCTCAAGGCCTCAAGGAGCATTTGGAGTTTGGAGGGCTCGGCTCTGTGCCCAAGGCTTAGGCCGGTGCGGGCGACAGTTTCGGGACTCAGGACGAAACGGTGTCAGATCCTCGAAAGCAGCCACGTTTGGAAGCGAGTGGGGCAAGTGCTCCTGCTGTCGTATTTAGTCGTATTTGGGGCCCAGGGCATGCCACCCAAAGTATATCCGCAGCCAAGGAATTCCTGAAACTGAAAGCTGTCTTTGCCTTTGGGTCTTAGCGGTTCGAAGGAGCCTTGACCCGAAGATGCTTAGCCGAAGCCCTCCCTTCCGAGCTTTCGGTTTTCAGGTGCAGCCATCTGTCGCCGTACCAAAAATTCCGCTTCCGCGATGTGCTGCAGACAGAAATGAGCCTGGGCGAAGCTCGAGTTCGGGAGTTGCATCGTCTACCTTGGAAATCAGGGTCCAGAGTACCCGAGGAATGTTGCAATTGTCCGTAGGATCAGGTCTCATGGCCAAGTTCGTAGGAGGCGATGCTGCAACCAGTCCTAGACGTGTCCTTCATGCCTCGTGCTTTGAATCCTCCAAATGTCGATACCCAGGAATGGCGGCAAGGTCTGCGATGTCGACCTCAATCAGACAGCCGCTTTCTCGAAAGACGTTTCCAACCTAAGCCGCTTGTACATGAGGAACGTCCCCAGAGTCCAGACTCGCGAATGGATCTTATGGAAGCTAACCGGCTTTGCGTGTGAGAAGGAAGACCGCAGCGTCTAGAGAGCGGCACCAGAAGACCTTCACAGGGCTTTTAGTGCCCTACAGTGCCCTCTAGACTCTAGTCCTGCTAGAGAGAGTGTGTTTTTCAGAGTCTTCTCTCGCTTCTCTCTTCTGCGCCTCCGGCCAAGGCTGGCTGCCCTGAGCCGCCCTGGGACTTGCCCAAGCCCAGCTGTGAGATGAGCACGTGGTGGGGACCCCGAAGCGTCCCGAGAAGTCTCAAAGTGTCAAGCGGTATGTTTTGTGAATCCTCCCATCGCAGCCTGCCCTCAAAGTCTGACGAAATCTTAGAACAACAACACCCTCAAGGAAAGCGCAAAGCCCCCTGCGCCTGAACACCCCAAAAGCAAAGGTCCGAGTGGACGGATTGCTCTGCCACCTGCGGCGGTCAGAAGCATCGCAGCAGGAGACAGGGGCACAAGATGCCGCAAGGGTGCGGGTCGGTTCGGCCCATCTTGGGTTTCAAGTTTGCAAGTTGGGTTCAACTTTGAAGGGTTGGGTCCGAAGTTTGAGCGGGTTTGAGGTGCAGCCAGAGGTGATTCTGACGTACCTCTCAAGCGCTAGCCGCTAGCTGCTGGACCCTCCTTTTCGTGCATGGGGCCGCGCTCCGAATTCGGCCCTTCAACGGTATCCAACGATCCTGCACAGTCGTTGAACTTAAGGCCAAAACCTCTGAGCACCAATGGAGTGCCACAAGCGGTGCCCACAACACAGAGGTACTCAGTGTTCTCAGCACTGCATCCTCCGAAAAATGCGAGCCTCGATGCACTTCTGGAAACGGGAACGCCAGCATGCTGACTCCGAGAAAAGCTTGAGCTGATTCAGCCTGGAAGATTCGGGGCAGTGAGTCTTTTCCGCTTTCGGACGGCATCTGGCTCAAGGACAACGAGGCAGAGACCAGCAACTACGTCTGCCTCGGTATGCGGTTTGAGCCGTCATCACCCTACGCAGTGGGCTTGTCCGGTTTGGCCGGTGCAATCACGGATGGTCCAGATTCCACTCCTGTGCTGATGGTGCTAAAGATGCCCCACAATCTCGCCACGCTTCTTCTCAAGGGATATAGGTCAAAATCAAGAGAAAGGAGCGACGTGAACCTTGGTCGCAACATCAGGCGTACGATCATTATTGTAAACATTGCAGTAGTGATCGTATCGCCTGATCTTGCGGCCATGTATTGTTCACTGGTGCCATCGGTTTGTTGAATTATCGAGAGTTCGTAGTGGGGTTGATTGATGTGACCTTGATCGGCGTGTTTGGTGCATCCTTGGATGGTCGACGTGTCCGTCCACCGCCTACCCAGTGTTTTTCCACCCACAGCTTATTGGGTTTTCGTGAAATGAGCTTGCCCAGGATAGAGAGGTACTGTGGTGAACTACACGACAAGCGGTGGCTTACCCGGTTTATGATGTCCTGTGCTAATTGGCCCTGTGCAAGGCAGCAATGCAGTTTCGCATGATGCTGGAAAGAACTAACCATGGAGCTCTGGAGCTGTCTTGTGCCCTTCCTGTTCTGCCCCTTGAAGTGAATGCCTTGCCCCAGGTCAGACTGCAGCTGCAAGTGCTTCGGAGTTCAAGAACGACAGCGCAACGCTGAAGACCCGGACATAGCTGTTGCGTTCGGTCTTCACGTTCATGAAGGTTTTTGCGGGGGAGGATGAAGAGAAGGAGTGCTTCGATGCCTCATCTAACTACGACTCCTCGACTGACGGTCCAGACCCCACTCCTGTGCCGCCTTGGCGCTACTGGTACGACAGAGCCATCTTTCTGAGGCACGGGGGAGCGCACGCCTCTGCTTTTTGCACTGCCGTCAGAGCCCGCCGCATCCTTTGAGGATGTGCAACAGAGCACCTCCGCAGAGCGAAGGCTTCGGCGCAAGAAGTCGAGGCAAATTCCGGCGGTGTGACAAGGTCAACCCAACCAACATAAGCACAAACTCTCGGTGGTTCCAGAGCGTGATGACATCATCGTTCACCCACTGGCAGTAGTGGTCCATTACTGCAAGTGGGTGAGCGACGTCATCGGGCCTTGGAACCTGAGAGATCTGTGAAATGGTATACTTTGCAGAGTGAGCTAGCCCAGGAGTCGGGGGAGGCAGTGAAGCACATGACGAAGGACATGTCACACAGGCGAACGGATTTCCCGTGATGAAGAGTGTAATGTAATTTTCTAAGACCTTCAGGTACGACTCCTCGAGGAGTTGATGGGACGCCAGGTGCGGCAGCAACTGCTTTCCGTTCTGGTGCTGGCTCCGTTTGCCAGCTGTGGTAACAACAGCACGCCCTCACCCTGTCATGATGGATTGGCTGGTAGCCGCTGCCAAGCCGAGCTCCGAAGAAGAGGGCTTATGAGCCTTTGCTGCTGATGTTTCACTGCCGGCATCTCCCGTGATGTTCGAAAGAAGTCGAGCCGAAAGCAGTCGCTGCGCTTGTGATCTGCAGTTGCGCTTCGCCCCAACCTCCTCGACTGATGGGCACGACAAGCGGTGGTGAACAGAGCTCCGAAGAAGAGAGCTTGCCCCCTGTGATACGTGGCCGTGTGCATGCGCTTTCGCATGATGCTGGAAAGAACTGACCATGGAGCTCTGGAGCTGTCTTGTGCCCTTCCTGTTCTGCCCCTTGAAGTGAGTGCCTTGCCCCAGGTCAGACTGCAGCTGCAAGTGCTTCGGAGTTCAAGAACGACAGCGCAACGCTGAAGACCCGGACATTGGCTGTTGTGTTTGGGTCTTCACGTGAGGGATCGGGCGGAAAGTTCGCCATTTTGGTATCCGTTCGGGCAAGACCCGTTGCATGTCCGGTGAACATAGAAGTTCATACTTCACCGTTGTTTGGTACTGTCGGTGAGTGGGGCCTGTCTGTTGCTGAGGTGCAAGGAGTGTTGGGTCTGCCAGTTGCAGAGAGTGCTTGGCTTCGGCATTTTGAGTTCCGGCTCCTTTTCAACAACCGAGAGTCCTGTGCCCAACAACAATAAAGCATATGCAGGTCAGGCCATCTTCCGAAATGGTTGTCTCATATTACCTTCTGCCAGTACCGTAACTGTCTCGTTCGACCATGACGGCAGGCTTTTTGGTCTCTGTTGCAATGCACCCTAGCACACAAGAATATTTGGGCACGCCATCCGCATGCCAAGTTCTCAGGTCGCGCAGTTCGCCCGAGGCTCGGGCAAAAGCTGCCTCACGACATCGCTGAAAGAGGCCGGCTTGTGTTGATGGTTGGGAGTCTGTATCTGATGTTTTGCCCTTGCTGCCGAAATGACGCGCGGGCTGGCTGGCTGCCTGCCTGTCTGCCTGCCTGCGTATTTGTCTTTGCATGCGCCAGCTGCACATTCTCGTACAGGGTATGTCTGCGTGTAAGCACACATGAATTGAATGCAAGGACCGACTCAACATGCACGTGCAGTTCCCTGGACATGCGCTTGGATCTAGACGGGCAGCTCTCATCTTGCGCACTCGGTTACACCCCGTCGCCCTAGGCCCCACCCTGAAAACAGAGACAAGAAAAATAAGACTGTCTCTCCGCCCACAAAGCGCGGAAGCGACGATTCGGCCCCTTTGGACCTCCGCTCTTTGGGAGGTCCGAGCCTGCAACCCTGGAGTTGGCCAAGATCCGCCCTACACGCGCGGATCCCGTCTCTGCATCTCTTTAGCTTTAGAAAAGGGCTGCTGGGGACTCTGGGACTTCCGTGCTCTTTTGTTTTTAACACAGCTTTTCTTTTTTTTTTAAAGCTTTTTTATGCTTGTCTTTGGAGGAGTTGCCATGGGCTTTCAACGCTTCTGGGGTTTCAGGTTTCTTCGCTGAAGCCAGGACTTCTCAGAGCTCGAGGGGGGGGTGGTGAGGGTACCAGGTTCAGGGGTAGAGGTCGGCACTTGTACTTCGCTCTCTCTATCTAGCCGCGTCGCCGCGTGAGTGGCCCCCAAAACCAAACCTCCCATGGCATGTCTCCGCCCCGCCCCCTTCAAAGGCCAGCCCGAACCAGCACATACAGTCGCAGGGCTGGTGCTCGTCAAGCCCCAATCCCAAACAACACCCGGGCCTCAAACCTCAAACCCGGGGAAGGGAGCGAAACCCTTCTGTTCTGCCAGTTGCAAGCCGGAAGATCCGAAGACCTGCGTCATTGCCAGCTGGGAGCAGTGGTCGGGGAGCCCAGAAGCTGCGCCGGAGGAACTTCTGTCGTGATAGTAAGTTCTTGCATCGCCTCAGGCTGTCAGCTGGGAATTCCAAGAGCCTCCGGGTGCCCCTTCCATGACTAATCACGAGCAATCGGGGACCAGGAGAGTTTTTGAGGCTTCCGCAGGGCCAGGGATGAAGGAGCAAGAGGAAGCCCAGAGATCCCGTTTAGAGCTCAGCGAAACCGGGAGAGTTGTTGGCCAAACCTTCGGTGAGGACGGAATGTTCCCGATCGTGCGGTGGCGGACACAGGAGCCGCGTCCGCCACGTCGGGTGCTTGGTCGGATTTTCTGCGATGATTTCGCGAAGGGCTTCGGTTCGAAGTTGGTACCGGGGGCAAAATATAAGTCGGTTCTCAATTGAGGCTGGCATCTTGGATGGAATGCATTAGTGACATTCGTGGTCATTGCGCTCGTCATGGGGCAGCTATTCTGTAGAAGCGAATCAAGACATCGACACTTGTGGCCGTTTCAGTTTGTGTCAAGAGAGTAGTTCAGCCGAGCATATAGATTCCATTGATCCTGCACCGGAGGGTATAGTGGAGGAAACTTCAGCGTTGCGGCTCAAAGCTGGTGTGTTGCACACGCAGCTCTTTGTCTGCGGGACCTGGACTTTGGCATAATGATGCACATCACCGATATCCGATATTCTGTTAGTCAAGACTCAAGACGATGAGCCAAAAGCTCAGGTGACTCTCACTCCTGCATTGTAGTGTGGTCAATTAGCTATCGCTAGTTGCTAGCCGAGTCATCCACCTCAGCAGCCGAGGCGAGAAGCCCTTTGCAGAATGGATTTCATAGTTGCACCATACCGTTGTATAGCCCTCGTGAGCATCTGTGACACCCTCGACTCACAATGGTACGCTTATGGCCGAAGGATCGTTTAGCACTGAGCCCAGCGGAGTGCCTTCAGCTGCCGGACATCGTGATCCACGACCACGGCCCCGATGTTCAACGTGCAGACCCCTCGGACCTTGCAGATCGGGGCAGGGGCACCAAGCGCGCCAGTGCCGAGAGCTTGGAGGCAACCAGGCAAAGGCCGAGTGCAGCTCACACTGAGGCTTCTGAGGCTTCTGGTCAAGAGGATTCCTTCGAGAAGAAAGCTGTGGCGCACCTGAGCGTAGCTCTGCGAGAGGATGGATCGGACGAGGCCGACACGTGCCTTCTGGCCGAGGAGCTCGCGGCGGCCTTTGTGCGAAGTTGGGGCCTCACCCCCGAGTCCGCGCAGCGCCTGCGGGCGCTCCTGGCGGCCTTGCGCTCCAATGCAGACTTCCGCTCGGCCGTGCGGCAGCGGGCACAAGAAGCCGGCGCGGCGGTGCTCGCGAAGACTTTGGCCGCCGAGGACCCGCGAAGTTGGGCCGACGAGCAGCTGAAGGCGAAGCGCGCCGAGTGGCAGCGAGAGAGTCTCGCGGAAGCAGCACCGCAGCAGGCCGGTGTCCAGCGCCCGTGCCCTGAGTGTGGTGGCCGGGCGATATGTGAAACGGGGGCCAGCCAGAACTTCAAGATATCGAAGTCGTTTACTCACTACCGATGTCTGGAGTTGAACTGTGGCAAGGAGACGCACGTGACTGAATGAGTCCAGAGTGCTGTGCAAAAGAAGGACGAATCCCTGACTCAAGGTGTGCACCCTGTCAGGACACACCGCTAAGGTCTCCCTTTTGACTGGGCGTCTCGCAATCACTGTTCATGTTCTCTCTCTACACCAAACTGTCAGTTCTTCCAACGATGTCAACAGAGCGAGTCGCAACCAGCAGACTGCCCAGATTTTGAGCCCGGCTGCCAACGGCGGAGCGTCTGGTGGCCCAGAGCGGACTGAGGTGTTTGCGGGGGTTTCCGGTTTTTGGCGCAAAGTGCATTTGCATCTCACCTCGCGACGAGTGACATCTTTAGGGTGGGTGATTTTGGCTGTAACCCTGTGCAACGAAACAGCATGGGCGAACCAGCGGATCATATTGCAAAGAACCAGAGCAAGCTGCCGAGTTCGAACCTTCCCCCCCGGCGACACCACCAGAAGCCAAAAGCCAAGGGCTTGCAATGACTCCCTGGCCATGATGGAGCCTTGTGCCGAGGAGCCGTGCCTTGCTCAGTGGCTGTGCAATGCCGACGGTCTCAATTTGCTTCGAGAGTTCGACAGTTCGAGACGCCTTTGGTATTCTGTCGTGTCATGTCGTGGGATGGCTTGCGGCTTTCGGGTGCGAATCTGGTGCTCCTGCGGGCTGCTACGACAATGTTCGTAGACTTCCGGTAGCTGCGGCAATTGCTCGAAAGCTGGCAGTTGCTCCGGTGGAGTCGAACTCGCCCACCCCGGACTGCAGCTCGCAGCAAACTTGCTAAAGGCGAACTCCGAAAATGCCATCCCAGCTCACTAAAGAGCTCTGAGGTGCGGCCACGAAGTCTGCATCGACTGCCAGTGGGAGGCCTGCGGAGGGTAGCTGGTGGGCCACCGACTGTTTTCCACAAGGTTGTTCGGTGACTGGCGGAGCCCATAAGAAACAAAGCATTCTCACGCCACAGGCGTGGTCCGAGTGGGGCGCCTGCACGCAGCGAGGGCCTCGGACAGGAAGAAACTGGTTTCTCCTCTAAGACCGAACAGCCGCGATCCCAATGCGCCCGGTCCATCTCTCCCTTGTCCTCTCTTTGCTTCTTCTCCGCTTCTCCCTCTCTTGTTCCTTCTGTCCTCCCGCTCTCCTCCCTCCCGCCCTCTCGCTTTTAGCATCTCCCAGTACACAGCCTGAGCCCTCCGTTTGGGTCGCTCCCAGGTGCGGAAACCAACGCTTCAGACATCGCACCCTGGCAGCTCGAGGAGGGAGTTCCATTTCTGCCCAGGTCCTTCAACTCGCCCGGTGTGCATCGAGGTTTCTGTGGGTCGGTTTGGTTATGACCCTGGCATTGACAAGTTCACTGCAGTCATGCTCAACCTTTGTATTTTCGTTCTTCGTTAACTTGAACCAGACACTCAGCAAGTAGACAACATACTCGCAGCAGATGTAGGCCGCAGTCGCACTTATCCGAATCACAGCCAACAATGTGAATCATGTGATGATGGGGTGTTGCTGATTGCAGACAATGACAGCCATGCTTGCAATCGCATTGCTGTATGGGGTTTCTTGTTGTGGCACTCTCTCTCAGAGAGCCCATGGAACCCTGTAGATTTCGAACACTTTTGAGACCATACTCGAGAATCAGAGCTTGAAGCGCTCTCTTCCTTGTGACTCCCAAACTTCGAAAGTTTCGTTCTTGTCGTGGGGTTTTGGGTTTTGGTATTGTTGCCGCCCCTATGGCCTTCGACTGGAACCAGTGTCGGATCAAGGCAACATCGCTCGGGTTCCCAACCACTGTGGCAAGCGAGAGCCCAAGCTTATCGGATGACACATCTGGTGGCGGGCACAGCCAGACAGCAGCAGCTGCATGGCGCTTTGAATTCATCTCGGCTGTGCTACAAGCTCATTTTAAAGGAGATCCCAAGCCCCAAAAAGCTTGCGGGTTTGCTGTGTCCGAGGCCATGTGATGCCAAGGCTGCAAAGGAGCTGGGTGAGTGCCAGAGCCGGGGGCACCCAGAAGTTTGTGCTTCGAAGGCTTTGGAGGGTGCTGAATCGCTCATACAGGATAAGGTCGCAGGGCTGGCGCTTACGTCGCTTAAGGCCTCGGGCCCAGGGCCAGGGTTGGTTTCGGATGTCGGAGTGTGTGTAGATCAATCGGGGCTGAATGTCGCCCTGTTGAAGCGTTTCTGGTTTCGCACGGCTTGAGGGTCAACGGAGGTCCCGTCACCACGCCTCGCAACCTCGAAAAGCTAAAACCCGGCTAAAACTCAGCATGGCCTTTGAACTGTGAACCCCTAGAAAGCCCGTCTCTCACGGCCCAACGCCCGGAGACTCCAAAATGCCGACCCTGCCAGGCCATTGCGACAAGAAGTACTACTGCGTGTGGCCGGGCCCCTTAGACATCGGGAGCCGACTCTCGTCGACTCGTGCTGCAATAGAAGGGGAGTTCTACGAGGTACAGCTGTTCTCCTTTCGCTAAAGCTCTGCTACACGTACTGACTTGAGGATGCTCCTGTTTGGGAAGGGGCAATCATGGCTCGGCTCGTGGCCTTGCCACCCCTAAACACTTCAGCGCGAGCCGCGGCCAGAGAGAGCCTCCAAAAGCTGAAAGCTTGAAGTCTCCTAAGACGTGACCTCAACCGACTCCAGGGCAGGGGCAAGGGCCCGCTCGAAGTCTCAGTCGAGGTCAGAATGGGAGGGCATGGGAAGCTGCTCTCGGACCTGTGGGCCAGGGCCTCAAAAAGGGGAGCCTCGGCCAGATTTGCGAAACGTGCACGAAGTGCGGAAGTGTCTGGCTTTGGAGCTCATGAGATGCGACTTCGGCTTGTTTCCGTTGCTGATCTCCTTATGCAGGAGCTGTGCCGGGGCGCTTTTCCATCTAACACCATCTAACGCTCGTCAAGTTTCAGAGCAAACTTCAGGAGAAATCTTGCGGCCTGAGACTTGCGTAGAGGTCGGGCACTCGCATGCGTCAGCGACAGCTCACATTGGAGCCTGACAAGCCCTTTAAGGACACTGTCTGCTGGGGTGGTTCTCCCCAAAAACCTACTCATTGAGGTTTCGATACATACTTTCGATACATACATATCGCAGTTTACATCAATTAACACAAAGTCTTCACGAGAGCATAAGCCAGAGCCCTCGTGGTTGTCAGTACTTGGCTCGGGTTACAGAAAAGTGAGTACATTCTAGCGCTCTGCCAGTGCCTGCCGCTGCTCTTCGCGTCATAGGCAATTCCGAAGGCAGGTTGGAGTCTTAGTTTGTTGCTACTGGAAGATGGTGCTGCAACAAGTACAGCCCTCCACGCAAGGCGAGTCCCGATGTTGTTTTCAGCAAATTATCGTGCTTTCATTTGCATTATCTTTGCAGTGCCGGGTGCGACGTGCCTGTGCATTGGGTCCAGCGGTCTAACGTGTTGCGATGCGCATTTTGTCAGACGAGGGAAACAAACACCACTCTTGGGCCCAATCCCCAAAAGCCCCCGCTACGTTTCTCTGCGCCCAGCCAGGACCGCATGTTCTTCGAGACGACCGTAGACAGCTCCTGTAGTGGCTCGCAGATTTTCACAGAGGCCGCGATTTCTTGAGGCAACAGAGCTAAGCCAGCCTCACAGCACCCTCGCAAAGGGCATTCAGTCTTCGACGCGGAAAGACAGCCCAGAATGTTGAGACACCTCAGGCTCTAGAGCCCCGAAGCCTCAAGCTAACAGTCTCAGTCCCGAAGGCCCAAGTCTCCGAATGACCAAAGCCACGGCCGCAGACCTGCGAGCTGCCGAGCTGCGAAGCCTGTATGCCGGAGGCGCGTCCAGGGATGATTGAAACATCTGTTTCTGCGTGCTGCCACAATCTTCGACAGGGGTCAGAGGCACACTGATGAGCAAGCCACATCCGAAAAAATAGTTTTTTGACCCTAGCTCGGGAACTTGCGCAAAAGGCGGGGTCCTGGAGGGATGCCTAATGTGCTTAAGTTAGTGCGGTCATCCTTCACGCTGCTAAGACTGTGAACCAAAAGTTCGTTCCATGCTTCGGCATCAGAAATCCACCGGAGAGTGTACCCAAATGCCCAAATCACAAAATACGAAGCACCTTCCGCCACTGGACTGGCTGGCGTCCGCAAAGATGAACTCCTATCGCAACAGGTTTGCTGCGCCGTTGCACGGTGGTTTTGGGTGTTGAGGTGTGCGAAGCATTGCGTTCTATCAGAGAAGTGAAGGTGAAGAGCAGAGACTCACAGGGTTCAGCTGGTGTCATGATGGCTCATGGCAAACCCAAGCCTGTGACTTCACTCAGGATTGCATCTTCAACGAATGGTCCGACTGGTCCGGACCTACGCGCTGGCCTCGGTTCTGAATCCGCGCTTCTGGCCGTTTTCTCCGACATTTTTCGTGCGTGAAGTCATCTACTTGCCACCACTGGTTTTCTGGCCACTGGATTATCTGGCTGGCGATTGTCCGACGATTGTGGATTCAAGACTCCAGTTGAGGGGTTCAGTCTTTGAAAGGACAAAATAGGGTGGTCGCACGTAGACGTAGTTGTCAGTCTTGCGACTTCTGGTTAGAATGCATGCATGCAGCCGAATGCCGCCCATGTTGCAAAGAAGCACCGATCTTGTGCAGACCGAGCAGATAGATGCGTCTCAGCCGCGGAGCGGCAAGTGCAGCGGATTGCAGCAAGAGCCTGGTGCAGCTCAGACCGTGCTGTGGTAGGTGCACCCAGCTCTGCGAGCGGCACCGCACCGTGAGCCAGGACTAGGTTCAGGGTGCAGATTGGTTGAACGGTTTCTGTGTTTTGGGACTTCAGTTGTGGGGTGTCGAATGCCTCTGTCTCAATTGCCGGCCACCCGAGTTTGGGGCTCTGGCTTGCTACGCGCTTTTCAACTTTCCTGCCTCCTGAGGAGAGCAGCTGTGGCGGCGAGTTGTGCCAGGGACCACTTATGGAGACCAAGAGGCAGCGCCACAGGGCACTTTCCACCCTGAGCCTGGTAAATGAGAAGCACAAAATCCGAAGACATTAAGCCTCAGCATCCAGAAGTTGAAACGGCGGAGTCTGACTGAACTGCCGGTTGAAGCATGTTGTCAGGTGTGGAACTTAGGTAGCGGAGAAGCTTTCCCGCCCAAGACTGTTGGAAGCTTCCTCGAAGTTAGCCAGGTGCCCGCACCACTGCAACAAGCCCATAGACTGCGTCTTCGGAGACTGGAGTCGCCTGGCAGCATTGTGTGTTTTGGCCCCCGAGCTGATGTCACGTGACCCTGGATACTTCGGGCTCAGGGTTGGACTGCTCAACTTGGGGGTCCAGGCGTTGTCGCGATCCACTGAATGATCATCAAGTAGCTTGCCGGGCAAAGTAGGCGAGTTGCTGGGAGAAAGAAGAGGTTCTCTCTGTGACATCTTGCATCTCCGGGGCAACGTTGAGTCCATTCCCTTGCACACAGGTTTCGACCGCTCGGTTTAAGTGCGGTCTGAGCATTGAGTGAAACTTGTGCGGACTTTGGCGAAGTCTGCCACACCCGCAGTCTAAAGGGTCTGCAAAGAAGGAAGACACCTCGACTCCGTGCTATTCAGGTGACTGGAGGGGCGATTGCCTTGGAGCACAGGACCAAAGGCCAGCAGTAGGGCGCTCTCGGATTGGTACTAGTAGGGATTTGCTCTCTGAGGTGAGGGGGAAGGTTGCAGCCGAGTGAAGACCCATGCCCTGCATCGCTGCAGCCTCGCATGAAACACCAAGCTCCAAGCACATGGCTTCCCCGAGATACATGCTCCGTGCCATCGAGCAGCCGGCAGTCAATGGTGGTGCGCAGTGCGAGGGAGCGTGGGCCTCAGGGAAGTCTGCATGGCGATTTCATCTCGACTTTCAAAGCCAGCCTCAAATGCATTAAACCAAAGAAACACCCACGGAATTGACCAAAGCGAAGCCCTAAACCACGACTTCAAGGTCCCACAGTCTCTGAAGCCCCGATGCCCCGACTGAGGCCACAAAGAAGACCTCGCCTTGTGGTGGTGACCACCGGAATTGCAAGGCACAGCAATGCGGATGTTGAGGGTTTCAGCAGCATAGTCATAGTCCAAGGGCGGTTCTTGGTGGGTGTCAAGGTTTAGGATTCGTGTTTTGGAGCCGCTTCGGGCAATACGTTTTAAGTTCTCTGAAGGTAGAGCGCTCTGCGGCCCGTAGGTTTAAGTTGACGTGCTTGCAGCTCCTGGAATGGGCGAGCGGTTGGGGTTCGATATCTCATGATTGGTCTGCCCAGCTCGCTTGATTTACATGTCGATTCATGTCAGCCTCAAGGCACGCGCAGCAGTGGACCGTGTTCAGCAAATGTGAGATAACCCCTACACTTATAGAAATACGCAGTTTCAGCTGGCAAATAGACCTGGTTTTGGGTGGCCACGCGAGGGGGTTGGGCAAAAAACAAAAAGCAGCAAAACAATTGCACCTCTAGCTTTTCGTTTTTTAAACAATATTTCCCCTCCCTCCCGCCTAGCCTACCTTCCCGCGAGAGCTTCAAGAATTGAAAGTAAAGTAACGGAGCTCTACACGTGGTACCCCCAGACAAACGAGACTAGCAGCACATGTCCTAACATAAAACACAACAGCATAAGAGTAGATCCCCAGATGCTACACACACAAAGAAAACATCCCTACCTTTCTGAAGTGAGAAGTTCACAAATTCCCACAACACTCCGAGATCGGCGTCTGGGCTGCGTGGTCGACTTGCACAGCCTCGTGTGACGGCGGCGTCATGACGAGGCCCATCGCCACCGCGCCTTTCAAATTAAGGTGTTCCTGAAGGCGAGAATGAAGACCTCCTTTCCTTCTGCCCCCATTCTGTCTTCGGGTTTGCTATGGACGGGCCATAATCGGAGTGCACCTCTCGGGCACATGGGCATGATCGAAAGCACTGGTGGCCTCTCCCCGAAGGCGCGATTATTGTTATCGTGACGGGTTGTAGTCTATCCGAAGAGTCTATCTTTCTAAACCATTGATGCTGTGAGATTCTGATGGTGCCGATGGTGACCTTTCATAACTTGATGAAATGAATGGAGATAGTTTTGTCTGCAACAGTCCTTTGGCTGCGCAGGTCCAGGGAGATTGACAAGCCGGCCCGAGGTGCGCCCCCGACATTCAGGACCTTTTGTGTTGTACTTTGTGTGTTTTTGCGTTCGTGTGTGTGCATCCTCATCACCATCACCGTCATCATCGTTATCATCACCATCACCATCATCATCTTCATCTTCATATTCACCTTCATCATCATGATCATGACCATCAACATCGCACACATCACCATCATCGTCATCATCGCCATCATCATGACCATGACCATGACCATCACTCTCACGCTCATCATCATCATCATCATCGTCATCATGGTCATGATCATTATCATCATGGTCATGATCATGATCATCATCGTCATCATCACCGTCATTCTCATCACCACCACCATCATCATCATATCACCACTATCATCATCATCTTCTTCCTCCTCATCATCATCATCACAATCGTCATCACCATCACCATCATCATCACCATCATCATCATCATCATCGTTGCCATCGTAGTTGTCATGTAGCTTATAGGCCTACTCGACACAGTATACACAAATCGACGAATGGAACATGTCCGGTAGCAACACAGCAACCTGAAAGCTCGATGCAGAAATGGGCAGCCGTGATCATATTTTTGGGAAAGCTCGTAGCGAATGTGTATGGCCAGAACGGCATGGTCTTGACAATCTCGCGTGCCGCATCTACAATTCATGTTGCTGTATTGGTCATCAACGCAGTTATTGTCATTGTAGAAATCCGGTTTCAAACGTTGGGTGTTTCTGATGCTGCCACCCCTGCACGGCCTTCCCTGCACAATCGGCCTTTCCACTCCACGCCAGGGGGTGGCACTCCCTGCCACGACTGGCTCTCCGAAGCAGTGGAGTGCAATGTGACCTTTGCATGTCTTGACCCCGATCTGCAGGGATTTCGGGCCACAGAGCCGCAAGCCAAGGCCCTTCTTCGAGAGGGGGCCGGAAGCCCCACAACCAGTGTGTAATGTAACATGTAGCTTCCTGCAGGACGAACTCATAGGTTTAGGACTGTCCATTGTCCATCCGATTCCCAAATTCGGCGGTTTTGGGTAACGATAGCAGCAAACCAGAGATTGAGGGAAAGGGCCAAATTTTGAGGCTTTGCCAACTCCCGGTCCTCTTCGCTGATCTGGCTGCAAGGAACAGTGCTTCATCATGTTCAGAAGTTCAGGATGGCTCTTGCAACATGTCCACAAGCCCCAGCAGCTACGAGTGCAGTCGAAATTGATCTCGGATCTCTCAGAGAGCTGCCATGGATCAGAACCAGCTTGAAGGATGGACAAGGTCATTTGCCGTCCAAGTGCTCCAGGCGCGTGTCAGATGCAAAGCCAAAAGTTCGCACTGGAACCGTGTTACCCCCTCAAGATAGAGTCTGCTGAGATGGAGAGGTCTTCCTGGAAAACTCGTCTTCGGACTCGGTGCAGGGTTTCATGAGCTTTGCTTTGCGGAACACGCTGCCGGACGGGACCAGTCTCAGCTCCTGGACGGATCAGGCGGGCCCTAAATCTGCATTTGCAGCGAGGTTCTGGGAGTATTGGAATCCCTCCTAGCGACCTAACCTGGCACCTCTGTACGGAACCTTCTGCGGTGTTGAACCCGGCTAGGACGTTTTCCGGCACCGGATGCTGCTGGCCTTTGCGCAGTGGACCAACTCCAAAGCGCGGCAGTTGGACGACCACGTGCCTTTACAGAACAATTTGCCGAATATGCACTGCAGCACCTCCCTGAACAATTACGTGAACCAAGAGCAGGGAGGAGTCGCCGATGCTGCAATCAGTGAGTTCATCTACCACGTGGCGATCCGATTGTTGGGGCCGGATGCCGCCTGCTTCGGGAATGCCTTGGGAGGATTCTTCGCCCACGGAGGATTCTCCGCTCTGCGCGGGGATAACACCAGCGGCGCCCTCTCTGAGTACCCGGCCCTGGTCCTGTCTCTTGGCTCGGAGGCGCCTTTTCTTTTTTTTTGTTGTTGTTGGGTATGTCTGGCTCTTGTCAACAGAGACCAAGAAGACCAAGAAGCCGAGGTCTGACATGGTCAGGTACTTGGAAGAGATCCAGGCCAAAGTCTTGAAGGTTGCACAGGAGCTGACACCGAGTGAAGCTCGGTGCTCCCAGAGCCAATGCTCTCAAGCCTGTGCGACCTTCATATGTATCGCGTTCGGGCAGTTGTGCGGCTAAGGAACTTGCTGGAAGCCTTTTGATGGAGTTCTGCCACTACTTCACGGTCATCATGACCTTCTCTCAGCAGAGCCAGATGGTTCAATTCCGGCTCCAGGCTCACGAGAACGTGGATGAAGCTTTCCAAACCTCCGACTTCCGCATCCAGCTCATTGACTCCTGTGGAAGCCTGATGCACCTCAGCTCTTCTTGGGGCGGGCGCTTCTGATGCTTAGGCCCAGGACTGTTCCCATACCTGCCCTGCAAGGAGCATGCTCCAGCACATCGAGCAAGTTTACAACAGCCGCAACGAGGGCCTCACAGTGGCCGTGGATTTTGAGGGCGTGGACTTGTGTCGTACAGGTGAGCTATGCCTCGTCCAGATGACATGCGATGACGATCCAACCCTAGTGTGCCGCGACTGGCTAGGGTTTGATTGAAGTGCATCCGAACACCTAGTAAATCGGAATCTCTTTCCCTATCCCAACTCTGCAAACAAACCTCAAGACAGCTGCAAGAAGTAGAGACGGGAGGCACACCGCATGCTCTGGAGGATCTGGAGGTCCTCTGTGAATGATCGCAATCATTTGGTGCTTCGAGTAGACAGGTCGTGCCCTGCACGGAAGTACAGAGTTCTGCACATCTCTGCGCCAGCGCCGAACTCAGGTATGTCCTAGACGTGCACGTCTTGGGTCAAAAGGCCTTCCACCTTGCCACGCCAACAGGGATGTCCATGAAGAACTTGCTGGAAGATCACCAGAGGCTCTCCTTGAAATGACGGGCCTTTTATACATATCAGTCCGACCCCCCCCCACAGTGCCACTTGCTTGTCTTCGCTTGTATTGCCAGTGTTCTCGCGAGTGCGGTCCGTCATCCGAGGAGAGTCACCAAGCTTTGGTTCGACCCTCGCAATGATGTGGATGCTCTGTACCACCAGCTCCTGGGTTAAGCTTCAGTGGCTCAGGGCTTCGTTCGTCCCACTTGGTGCGCAGCGAACTTCCTGGCGTCGTGAGGTCATCCGAAGTAGCGTTTTTTCGATTCCGCTGTTTGCGGACTTTTGATAATGCAACTTCTGTTCAGCATGCCTTCTTGGAGCATACGTGGGCAAAGATCCCAGGCCTTGCGACGATTGATTCAATTCCACCGCCAACCCTCCACAAACCCGAACCGCTGCCAGCGCTGAGGTTTGGAATCACCCCGAGAAACGTCGTGGACCTGCAGCTCGCCGAGGTCGCAATCCGCAGGAGAAGTCGCAAAGCACCCAGAGCAGTCATGGTGTGTCATGCAACAGCTTTGCTTGGCTTCCACTCATAATGAAAATGTGATGTGAGCATAGCGTGCCAGCAACTGTGTGAACACGAGACTTTTTTAATGGACAGTGTCAACGATACTATCAAAGAAGCGGATGCTCCTAATGCTAGCCCTGTCGCAACGACATTGCGGACAACACCGCCGCTCCTCCTCCTCCTCCTCCTCATCATCATCATCATCATCGTCTCCTCCTCCTCCTCCGGGTCATCATCCTCATCATCTTCATCGTCATCATCATCATCAACATGCAGGATATAGCCCAGGGACCATGGTTTTACCGGGGCAATCATGTTCGGAGTCGTGGCCCCGGCCGTATGAGTTCATCACGGATTCAGGGCCATCTGTCGTCTCGGAACGGTCCATGGCTCAGGATGTCCATTCACAGAGTGTTCGCGGCAAAGATTAGTTGCTCAGGATGTAACTTAAACATCTGTGGGTGTTGTTCGTCCGCATGTCGGAACTTTGTCGCCGAAGCCAGCCCCATGCTTCACCAAGCCTACAGAGATCCACACATGCTAAGCCGATGGCAATGCAGGAGTCAGGGCCACATCGTCAAGTACGTGACCGGACTTCAGAAGCGCCGCAGAGCAAAAAACAAAGAAAGTGGTGACTGGCGAATTTTGACGACAGGAAACGGGTAAGAAAGATATTGAGCGCACAATGACGCCAAGCTTCGCTCGGCTGAGGTGCCTGCAGCAGTCGGACCAGCTGACCCAGGAGCAGGTGAGCTGTGCGGCGGACATCGATAATCGGGCGAAGAGCTTGTTCGAGCCGAAGCCGCTGGTCTGCGAAGGCACACGAGGCTTACGAGGCTTAGGAAGGACGCAGGCTTGGAGGAGATAGGATGACGTTTCTGTGTCGCCGGCAGGGGCTTTCGGATTTCGCCCGCTCCAAGTTGTGTTCTCCTGCGGACAAACCATGTATAAGTCCACTGAACAGGAACCACCCGTCAATGTTACAAGCAGTCTTGGTGGCAGCATGAGAGAAGCATCGTCGAGGCCAGTGCGAACTGCGTAGCACAGTTCTGAGTCGAATCGTCACCGTGCGTATTGCGACTACGTTGCTCTTCAGATTTCCATGGTTTTCGCTGTTGACATGGCGGCCTGGTGACCACCAGCAGCATTGATGCCTCCAACTAAGATGATTGCCGTCATGATCGTATCGTAGTGTCAATGACAATGCTATCATCGTTGTTTTTGCTCCCCTGGCTCACAGATCCCAAGCTTCCGAAGCTCCGGACCCCGGTTGATCTTTATTGTCTTTCATCCATTTAATGCTACGTTGATCGCTCTTGGTTTTCACTATGATTGTCACTGGTGTTGTGCCTATCACTGTTGCCACTGAAACCCCGGCTTGCGAACTTCCGAATGCTGAGGTTCGGTGGTCGATATGAGACCTTCCAAGAGCGGCCCTTGCGAGACGCTTGCCTTCTGTGGATGAGAAATCTTGTGGACTTCAAGACACCCGGGTTGTTCAGGCACTTGGAGACATGGTAGCTCACCGCCAATTGCGATCCGTTTTGTTGGCAAGTAAGGACGTTATCCTGATGTATGCGGCCCATGACTCCAGGAAACGTGTCTTAAAATGAGACGGTTTCGGTATCGGCTGTTGAGTAGTGAGGTTGTGTGCGATGGAGGGCTTGGAACTAAAGTTGGCTTGTGCATTGTTTGAGCCCAGGTACATGCTCCTCTTGTACCAGTGCTACATGCAAAAGCTTCCACAGGACTGGTATGGTCGAGTGCTGGCTGGAAGCAGTGAGCGGGCGAAGTGGTTTCAGCATACCGACTACAGGCGTCCTGGCACTGATGCGCCGGAGTTCTGACTCAAAAAACGAGGGCGACTCTCAGCAGACTCTGTAGTGGGGGGGGGGGGTAAGGAGCTGAAGCGCATGAGGTTGTCGACCTGGTAGTACTGTCCAGTCATGCTTCCTTGAGAATTCAAGTACGCAGTCTCGAAGCTTGTTTTAGTCATTCTTCAGCCTTCACCGAAGAATCATCGTCCCCTTGCCATCAAGTTAAATCCAGCGCGGAGCTGCTAGGAGTTGCGTCCCAAAGAGCAACCCAAAGACCCAAAGTCAGCCATCCTCACTTCGCCAGACGCACCCCTGTCATAGTGGAGCACGCGACTGCATTCTGGGCCAGTGTGTGCCTCAGATGCCCATGACTGCCATAGAGACTCGTTCCGCAACCCAAGGAAGGGTGTTTTCCAAGTCTAGAAGGGTCTCCCAGGTGGATGATCAAAGTCTCCTTCTCTTTTCCGACCCTGAACAGCATGAAAGCTGAAGAAGTTAAGGTGGAATGCTTGGACATCCTGTCAAGATGGTCCTATGAAGTTCCGCTACCGACGCATCACGCAACAACCGGCCCTGGAACTCAGTTGAGACTTCCGCATACATCTTGAGGCATCGAGTATCGGGTTTTTGCTTGGGGAACAGGACTTGGGATCTAGGCCAGGCTTTCGAGTTTAGATCCAGGTCTTGCTTGCCCCTCTGCGGATGATGGTCCCAGTTCCTTACGTCGAGCTTTAACGCCGAAGTCAACTACGGAGATGAGCGTTAGTAAGCCTTATTTACGAGACGATCCTCAAGCAACCAAGACCCTGAAATCATCAGTGCTCAGACGCAACCGAGCCCGGAGCAGCCCTGCTGATGCCGAAGCAGAATGCCAATTTGGGCTGAGTCGGCTGAGTCTACACCATCCGCAAAAACCACCTTATCAATCCTGAGCCATCGGTAGCGAGGCCAACACGGGTCTGCCTTGCGTGGGATCTCTGCGCGAGGCCACGCCCAGCTGTTGAAAGACTTGGGGATTTTTGGCGTTGTGAGTGGTTCAGCTCCTCGTGTCTACGCACACCGACCCACATACGCCGCTCTTGCCCAATTTCTTCAACAGCTCATCATATGTCGTTCATAGCTACTTCCTGGATCGCCTCAAAACAACACCCCTACGCGGTCCAATTCGTATTCTTCAACACCTGCTCATCCAATTCAATTCTTGCCTTCACTTAGCTGTTGTACCGGTGCTGGAGGAGAATCTTAACCCCGTTGGCCTCACAGATTCCCACAACAAGCAACTTACACGTGACAAGCTTTGCAACAATCTTGACAACGATGAGAGCATGACAGCGACACGCCGGTCTGAACCGCCTCGCAGAGCGTTGCACGGATTGTTATATGCCCCCCGGTCACGGCAACATGATGCACTTAGCATCACTTGGCTGCATTGGGGCTTGGTTTGGAAGGCAAGCTGAAGCCCGGTGGCGCTTCCTGTTTAGCTTTTCGGGTGGCTCTTCGCTTGGTATCCGTTTTGTTGCGATTTTCTGGATGATAGTATGTGTGGGGTGGTTGCGCAATGATGAACCATTGCGTCATAATATCATCGTCAGCGAGTGCATATCTCGCACAAGCCCTAGGGCCCTAATTAGATGCGAATCAAAGCTCGCAAGGTTGTCAGCTGCATGGCCAGGGTGGACTGCGAGGTCGCGCCTCTGAATCTCAGGGCTCTGCTTCAGGGGGAACTTGATGTAAAAGGCTTACCCGGCACTTTCAATCCCAAAGCTTGGAACACCTTCCAACAGTAGCCTATAGCGTAGGAGTCTTGCGGAGGCAGATAGAAAAGCCGTCGAGATCAAATGCCAGGTCTCCTCGTGGACGGAGTGGGATCAGTGTGACAAAACTTGCGGCGGCGGTCAGCAGATGCGCCACCGTCAGGCGAAGTTGAGAAGCTGCGAGAGGGCCACGAAAGCTCTGGGGGTTGAAAATAGGTTAGAATCCCTGACTAAAAAGTTCGACGATGTTACAGCTTCTTTCAGGTGCAAGCATTTCAGAGAATTCGTGCCAGTTGTCAGTTGTCACAGACAGAGGGAGGCGACCCCGATGCTGGGAGTTCGGGGCTGAGGGCAGAGGGAAGCCGAAAGCAGCAAACGGTTCGGAGGTCACGAAGAATCCGACAAATGGCGGCAAGCCGTGCCCGATGACCCTCATCGAGACGCAAGGCGAGTCACTGCCCCTCAAGTTGAAGTGTTTGGGATAGCCTTCAGTATGAGCTTAAGCATGTGAAAATTCTACGGACAGGGAGGTCTCCTCTGTACTCCTTAACTTTCAAAAGCCTAAAGAATGTCAGATCCTGCATCGCCAATTCCGAGTCTCGGAATCCACCCCATCATTTGGTCTACTCCGAAGGCTGTGCCTTAGCACCGTGCCGAAAGCGGGATTGCACGGCCCCTTCCTGAGACGCTGGTGTCAGAGTTTTCAGAGAACGTGGTATTGCAGCGGCGTACAACAACACTGACAGTTTTGGCGGCCCTTGTGCTGTACGCAGGCTCACGCTCACCTGTAGCCCCGGGTGGTAGGGAAAGTCCGAAGCTGTCACGTTGTTCCGGTGCCTGAGACCCAGCTGAGGTCTATGAATGGAGCGAATGGTCCGGCTGCAGTGCCTCAGCAGATTCAGAAGGTTGCGAGGAGCATTCAGCCTGCCGGATCGATGCAATCTTGGCGAGCAGCAGAACAGTAAATGGAGCCCTCTCAGAGCCTTCAGCATCTCTGACTTCTCCGACGTTGAAAAGCCTAGCCGCCTGGCCCTCCTATATTCGTGCTGTGGGAAATAGTTCCAGAAGTCTTGAAAGATCCTCTCTCGGGAATCGGCCTGTGCTTGGCAGGGCATTGTCGTGACAGTGACATCCGAATGCCTCTCAGTCCCGAAGTCTGCGACCGCCAGGTTCCTCCTGCGGCGTTGGTTACCGGACTGGCGCTTGTTCTGTGGTTTGTATGTTTCGCTCCAAGCCTCGAGGCAGGTAGGTCTTCCTAAACTTAGAAAGGCATGAAATCGTGTCTTGATTGGGTATAGGCACAAGAATCTGGCAAAGGTCGATCACGGCGAACATGTGCTCGCCCGGCGGGATAGCTGTGACCGCCGCGAGCCCTACAATCCTCAGCCCTATACCTACGTAATTAAGCAAATCTCATTTTCCGTAGTCCTTGACCATGAGTGCAAAGCCGTGCAGGACGCGGGAGCGGGACTTTAGTCAGCGGCCCTGCGAGGGCGGCCGTGGCTGTGATCTAGATCTCTCCATGGCCGGGGACCAAAAAAGGGGGCGAGGATTTCGGGTTTAGGGTTTGGTGTGTCGGGAAGTCAGAGGCTTCAGGAGTGTAGGAGGACTGTGGATAGGGAGTCTCATCGCGAGCTTTGATTGTTGAAGCAGTTTGAGTCTTCGAGTCTTCTGGGACAAGTGATAGAAGGGATGTGCGATTTGGGACACAGGCGCACCGATTCAGGAGTTTGGGGCAATTTCTATGTTACGAAGCTGGCGGAGTGCGAAATCTAGTGACGCAGATCTGCTCCGTACCAGTAACCAATAAAGCCACGGGGAGGTCTGAGGCGAAGTTGCGGCTAGCATGCATCTTTCGTGTCCAGCAAGAGGCTGTTGCAATGGGCCGTGTCTCAAGCCTTGAGGCCTTGAGGGCAGGGAGGTTGCCAGTGTCAAGCCTGGCAACTGTCCTACGCTTCGCAGTCTGAGGTTTCAGTCTTTCCTTCAGGAAGGAAAGGGCACAGCCAAGCACAGCCATGAGACAAACTGAGCCCCTCAGGTCGAGCCCTGCTATTCGCCGGACTGCGACTGCACCGACTGCCTTTGGGACCACTGGCCGGGCCACCAAGCAAGGGGTTTGCAGCAAAGCCCAGCCCGAGACCTCAGGAGACCTTCAAGCGAACCTCAGTAGCTGTAAAGCCCCGAAATGCTTAGGACAGAGTGGACGATCTGTGACAAGTCCTGCGACGGAGGGCAGACGTCGGCGGCTGAGCCTGCCGGGAATGGACCACGGGTGACCGCGGGTCCCAAACGAGAGCTTCTGTTCAAGGCCTGGGGGCCTAGGGCTCCTGGCGCGGGGCAACTCAGGAGCCGCTCCAGGAAGATTTTGCAGAAGCCAAAGCCGGGATGCAAGTCCTGCGATGCGCCGGGGTCTCGGGAGCTTTCGTGTGCGGGGTTTTCTTGAAAGGATTCCGAAGGGGTTCAGGAGTCGGGAATGGGCTTCAAAGAGATGTCTTGCAACTGGCCAGTGGAGCAATTCACTCTGGGACTCTGGGCTTCAGAACTTCGGGACACCTACATGAAAGGGTCGGGAGCTCCTATGTTTTGAAGCTGGGCAAAGACAGACTCAACGCAACTCGAGCCAGATGACAGTAGGCTTCAGGATGCTCCACGTGTGTGGTATTGGAGGCCTCCTCCCCTCATCAGGAGGACTTCTGAGTTGCAACTGCCTTCCCCCTGATTGTAGTCGGTCGACGGCTCAAAGCATCGGGTTCAACAGCGGGAGCAAAGCGGAGTCTGAGAGTTTCGACTGTACCCGCCAAGGCTCCCTAGCTCGCAGGTGAAGCCTTGCAACACGCAGCCGCTTGGCATTGTCAAAGCATCGAAGTATGAAGGGTCGGGTTCAGGATGGCTTTGGGGAAGATGCAACTGGATACAGCCAGGGTGACCAGAGCGTGCCGTGCACTACACACTTCTTCAACAGCTCCTTCAATGCAGCCGCAGGTCCTGCAGCCATCATGTTTGCATCGACGGCCGGCTGGGGCCCCAGAAACCCAAACTCAACACTCTGCGCCCTCACAGGAACTGTGCCTCGATGATCGCGGCATGTCCTTGACCCCCGCACGGCAAGCTGTCATGAGTTGGCGCCACGAAGCAGTCCCCGTGTCCATCGAGGTGGGGCGACTGGAGCGAATGGAGCGCAGCACACCGAGATCCTGGCTTTGCAGGGTCAAAATGTAGAAATGGTGGAGGTCCTCGGGGTAGTCTTCACCAAGTTTTTCGGGATCTGCGCTTCGGATTCAGCTTCGGACTGTTCTGCTTCTGGGGTTCTTTGGCTCGGGGGCTGAGGCTGCTCGTGACAAAGCCTAATTAGGATTTTTGTTTGCGGGGCCATGCGGGGCCCCCAGCAGGAATAGTGACAGTGGGAAGAATCAGGAGAAAGATGAACGAGCAGAAAGAGCTCCGTAAGTCTTAGAAAGATGGTGAGGACTTCGCTGACCAGCTCTCAGAATTTTTCAGGGTCATCAGGTTAGCCGCATTATCGCACAGATTTGGCCACAACTGCCTGGATGACCCGATCCATGAAGTCGGAGGGGTGACCGGCACAAGAGTCTGGACGTAATCCAGCCTTAATGCGGTGGTGCCGCAGAAAGCCGCAAAGGAACGTCACAGTATACCTATCGATCCCAGTTTCAAGCCGAAGTTCAAGGCAACTTCTCTCAGGTTTGCTCAGCGACCTGCGAGGGCGGGGAGACGTGGAGGCATCGACACATCGCTGTCGAGGCGCCTGCTGCGGAGATCTGGGATCGGTGTATAGCTTCGGTTAGCTTCGTTGCTTTGGTACGAGGAGTTGGGCTTCAGGCTTTCGCACTGCACTTGCCTTCCTCCCGATTGGCGCCTCGTTGCGTTCGACCCGGCGGGGGTATTGTTTCGGATGATGGGTTTCTTGACTTCTCAGAGCTGAAAAGGCGAACGACTGTGGCCTTCCTGCTACGGGCTATGGCTCGGTCCCGGACTTGGGCGAACTAGAAAGTGCTCCGTGTGGGTAGGAGTGTTGGCCCGAGCGAAAAAGCTCTGCTTCTTGCTGAGCTTGTTGGAACATATCAGATCTCGGACTTTCTTGCATCAGGTTGGGTTTTGGACCCAGTGTGCATTTCTGAAAAACGGGTGATGGCGTGTGTTTGCATGTGTGTGTGTGTAAACGCCTGTACATGGCGACGGCAGAACCATTTTCTTAGCGCAGGGGGGCAAGGGCTCCAGTGACA